AGATTCTTGAAAATACCTTCCTACCTTTTTTCTTCTACATTGCGTCACACTAGCTTGGCATTATTACTTTTTTTTTTTTTTTTGAGGATGGGAGTTTCGCTTCTTGTTTGCCCAGGCCTGGAGTGCAATGGCATTGATCTCGGCCCTCCCGCGGTTCAAGTGATTCTCTCCTGCTCACCTCCGAGGTAGCTGCGGAATGTACAGGCGCCCGACACCACCCGTACTTTTGTATTTTTAAGGTAGGAGGATGCGGGTTTTTTTAGTAGAGATGGGGTTTCTCCATGTTGGTCAGGCTGGTCTTGAACTCCTGACCTCAGGTGGTCCACCCACCTCGGCCTCCCAAAGTACTGGGATTACAGGCGTGAGCCACCACGCCCGGCAGGATTATTGCTTCTTATGAGTTTAGAGTCTTCTGTAAAACCAGAGCTCTCACAATGCATTGTTCTTCCTTAGACTGTTTATTAAAATATTAAGATTTATCCTAGCACTTATGTTCAACATACTATAGTTTTTATACTTCTCCATCTAAATAAAACCAAGTTTTTTCCTATACTAGTCCAGCATGCATTCTCAAGAACTCCAGTGATTATACATCAGCATCTAGAGATTAGGTATCCCAATCCTTTCTTCCTATATCTAAGCTAACTCCTTCTTAACCAAATGGTACCCTTTGACTCTGTGTTAATCCTTTCCTTCCCTCGGCTCTTAACCCCTCTCATTCCATCTTCTCCCTCCCTTTTCCACCCCCGCTGTTCCTCCTCTTTTACCTGCTCTCCCTTTTTCTTTTTTTCCCCTCCTTTTCTTTTTCTTCTTTTGTAACTGAGCAGGGACTAACTTCTGAACTCTGCCCGTCCCCAGCCAGGACATCACAGGTGACATTTACTATTTCAACTTTGCCAACGGGCAGTCTATGTGGGACCATCCATGTGACGAACACTATCGGAACTTGGTGATCCAAGAGCGGGCAAAGCTGTCAACTTCTGGGGCCGTTAAGAAGAAGAAAAAAAAAAAGGAAAAGAAAGACAAGAAGGACAAAGAGACCCCCAAAAGTTCCCTGGTGAGTCAGTGGATGCCTCCTCCCAGAGAGGCCAGGGCTGAAATCTGGAGGGACATTGGGAACCTCTAGGTGTCTGCAGCTGGGAGGTTGAAGACAACAGTCAGAATATGGTAAATTCTTGATAGTATATCATCTAAACTTTGCCTGTCTTCTGGTCGATTTTCCTTTCAGCTTTTGGAATTCTGGAAGTTGTTGCCATGTCTACACATTTCCTTTTCTCCCCACTTGGGAAGTACATGTTACCTAATAGGATTGATGAGAGAGAGTCCTCTTCTGAGAATGGTTTTTGCAGTAGTAGTAGCAGTAATGGCATCGGCTGCTCTGGAGAGCGGGAACTGAAGGCGGTTGGCAGAGGCCAGTGAGCTGAGTGAAGTGTCCTTTCTGCTGTTCAGAGTCAGGCCTCCCCAGTGTGGGTTCCTTATTTGTCTTAAGGCGGTGTGAATTCCTAGATATCAGATGTAGCCATAATTTAGTTGTCAAAACACCGGGTGCCTTCAAGATTCCAGAGAAAAGCCTTGGGCTTTATCTGCTCATCTAGATTTTTGCCAGTGTCCTCAGTGAGTGGTGGGTAACTGAAGTTTAATTGCCATGTGATTTCCTTGTTGTTTTTTTTGAGACGGAGTCTCACTCTGTCACCCAGGCTGGAGTATGGTGGCGTGATCTCAGCTCACTGCAACCTCTGCCTTTCAGGCTCAAGCAATTCTGCCACAACCTCCTGAGTAGTTGGGATTACAGGTGTCCGCCACCATGCCTGTCTAATTTTTGTATTTTTAGTAGAGATGGGGTTTCACCATGTTGGCCAGGCTGGTCTGAAACTCCTAACCTCAAGTGATCCACCAGCCTGAGCCTCCCAAAGTGCTGGGATTATAGGCGAGAGCCACCACGCCCAGCCTGATTTCCTTGGTTATAAGTAGCTTTTGTATTTGAGTTCAAAGTATTCATATTAATTATTGTTTCATTTGTCCCTTTAGTACGTCTGAACCTAGGAGGTGGAGTTATTGCCCACATGATTTAGGTGGAGCAACTAAGACCTGGAGCCATACCAAAGTGAGGCCCAGGCTCTCCCAGAATGCTGTAGTGGTCCCTTTACCCAGGCCTGGGGCAGGTGGGGCATGCTGAAGAGAGAGAGGGACATAGGAACTCAGCTCAGCCCGTGGCGAGCACTGGGAACATCGTTTCAGCCCTCTTCAGTGGTCCACTTGTTTTGCTCTTACAGCTTTTATTTCCCTCCAGAGCCTTGTGCTTCCTCTGGTCCAAGCTCTGCAGACACTTCTCTCTTCCCTCCCCTCCCTGACATACTACTCATGTTTTGAGAAACACGGTAACAAGCCCATTCCTCCAGATGGAGAAAAGAGGGCAGATAATTTCCAGCTAGGCTAGATTTTCCAATGTCATGTTTTCGAATGGCAAAAGGTGGCCACAGGGCTTTTCACGGACCCCAGATTATTTGAAATGGTAGTCAGGCATCTGGGCAGACTGTGGCTTGACGAAAGACGGGAGACGGAATGAAGTGAGGGTTCTGAGGTGGAGAGCTGGGTAAAGGACTGAGATGTAGATGTGTGATTGGGTTCTTAGAGCCCTCTGTTAAAAAGAGTTCCTTCCATGATTGCAGGAAGTGAAGAAAATGGGACAGCCCTGCACTGTCAGTCTGGTTCTTAGGACTCAGGACAGGTGCCTCAAACTTGAGTTTGTCCAGGGGACAGCTCTCAGCCAGGCAGGCAGCCTGGACGCAAGTGGTTTGGACTCTCTGGAGGTGTGCACTCACAGCCAACTGGGGTTCAGTGTGAATGTCTGTAGAGGGGTGGTTGATTTTTTAGAAGTTTTTCTAGCCCAGAGGGTCTGTGACCATGTGGAGGTCTTTCAACAATACCAACTGGTTCACTTGGTAGACAATGCTAGACTGAGTTTTCAAGTCTCGGGTCATTTGTTATGCTTCTCTTCTCTCCCTGTTAAAAAATTTCTGGGTGTCCTTGATAAGGTTGGTGGACTTTTTTCTTCTTCTTCTTCTTTTTTTTTTTTTTTTTTGAGACAGCGTCCTGCTCTGTTGCCCAGGTTGGAGTGCAGTGGCATGATCTTGGCTCACTGCAACCTCTGCCTCCTGGGTTCAAGCAATTTTCGTGCCTCAGCCTCCCAAGAAGCAGGGATTATAGGCGCCCACTACTGTGCCCAGCTAATTTTTTGTATTTTTAGTAGAGATGAGGTTTCACCATGTTGGCCAGGCTGGTCTCGAACTCCTGACCTCAAGTGATCCACCCGCCCCAGCCTCCTAAAGTGCTGGGATTACAGACATGAGTCACCACACACGGCCCTAGGTTGGTGCATTTTATAAAACTAATCAATCACAGAATCTGAGAGCTGGATAGTACATTAGGGGTAGTCTGGTTAGCGATTTTCAGACTTTAGTTTGTAGTAGAGCCCTGTCTTCAAGTCAGTTCCTCTATAGAGGTCCAGCTTATACAAAAAGAAATGGAGCTTCTTTGGTTGAACTTGGCAGTGTAGGTCTTTGTGACACCTCTTCTCTGTCACATGCACAATATAGTACCCCGAGGTACTGAACTTCCCAGGTTCCATGGAGCAAGGTTTGCAAACCATTGATCTAGTCCAGCCTCCTCTTTGTAAATAAGGAAACTGGAGCCTAGAAAACAATATATTTTCAGCCCAAGAGAGTTTTTATCTTTTCTTCCCTCTTCAGTTTGTGCTTTACTTTGAATAGAGAGGGTGGGTTTCTGCTGAGGGCTTACCAAGGGGTGAGGTAGCAAGTGTAAATCAGAAGTGCTTTGTCTTCGTTTTCTCTGCATGTTTATATACCCATCTAGGAAACGCAGCCTGAGGAGGGACTTCTGCCTCCTTCATCCTTTCTCTGCAGCCTGTCCCCTCCGTCAGCACCTGGGCTTCCTGATCTGGACCTAGATCAAGAGATTCAGGCTAGAAGTGAGGGATCCTATAACAAAGGAAAGAGCCCAGGCATGCTGGGCGACACCCCCTGGCGTTTCATGGGTGCCCTTCCCAGAAAGCTGCAGCCACTCTTCAAAGGCCAAACTTCCCAAATCCACCAGGTCTTTGCTGACATGGAGAAAATTTTAGGCAGGGCCTCAGCCCAATGCAGGAGAGAATTAGGTGATCAGCAGGGTCTGGAGAAACCCCAGAAGGCGACAGAGAAAATCTACCTGGGGTTTTCAGACCCTGAAACAGAAGAGCTGGAAATGAGGAGCAGACAGCAGAAACTGGGCACTCCAGCCCCTCAGAACACTGGGCTTCTCCAAAATGTGCAGGATGTGGTAGAAAGCAGGAGCCAGGCCCCTGTCCACTCAAAGCTTTCTGAAGCCATCAAGGGCCTGCCGCTGAAAGGGGAGCAGCACAGCCACAGCTTAGCCAAACTGAGCTCCACTGGCCCTGGAGGGGACAAGGGCCAAAGCCCCATTCCCACGTCATCCCCTGAGGAGGAGCCCTCCCTGTCCTCTTGTTCTTCCGGCCACATGTTGCCTGCCAGGAAGAGCAAGTTGTTGTTAGATAGCAGCCCTACTGAAGACCTGAGCTGGCAGGGAGTTTCTGGGGAAGGTGGGAGCGTAGGCAGTGGGAGGAGGAGGAGAGAACCTCCCGGACTGTGGATGGAACAGGTCTCCAAGCTTGTCAGTAAGGATATCCCAGGAAGCTGCAAGGAAACAGAGCCCAGTGACCCTGAGGCTCTAGGGGCCTTAGTTGAAAGTCTACCTCAGGGGCTCTTGCTAATATCACCCGAAACCCTGGCATCAGAACCAGCTCAGAATCCCCTTTCAGGGAGGGCCCCCGGGGAGCCTCCTGCCGGTGAGAAGAGACAGACCCTCGGGTCTGCAGAGCTCCCTTGTAAAGATGAGAAGCCTAGTGTGTCTGGGCCTGACTTGGAGAACAGCAGCAGCAGCGGTAGCAGCAGCAGCAGCAGCCTGGCCTTACACCTGGGCTCTCCCGTCCTGGACGAGGTGAACAACTTCCCTTGGAACCTGCAGAGCTCACGGGGATCTGAGGAGGGTGTGGCTCAGTCAGACTCAGGTTTCAGAGATCAACACTTCAGCCCCTTCTCAGTTCCTCACATGTCCCACATGCAGAGCCCTGTCGAGGAGCAGTCAGAAAGTGAAGACTACTCTGAGGATCAGAGGTTCTACCAGCACATCCTGCAGATGGTCAAGATCTCCAGGTGGCCGGAGGGCCTGGGGCTGCCTGAGAGCATGCAGGACATGCCGTGTAGACACAGCGCCAGCACAGGCTGTTGCATGGCAGCTGAGTCTTCTAGGATGTCTAGTGAGGGTGAGCACGAGGCCATCAGAGTCCTGGAGAGGGACTCGAGGCTTCTATCATGGGAGCCAGAGCTGCTGGAACATCCTCAGGAGGTGGCCCTTGCCCCTGCTGGGCAGGAGGCCTCTCAGCAAGCCCACTTGCAGCCAAGCAGCAGCCCCCTCAGGCAGGGGCTAGTCCAGCAGAGCTCCATCGGCGGGTTTGCTACAGAGCCAGGCAAGATGCAGCATTTCAACCAGGTAGGCTTCTTAGTGAGCGTGGCCTAAAGGCCTAAACTTGGCAGGGAGGGAGCAGGTGGAGTTGGTGTCTTACCACAGCTGTCAGGCCTGTGTTCCTGTTACCCACCCTTCCTTGGTAACTGCTGGCCCTTTAACTACCCAAATGGCCATTTTATGGGATGACACATATTTGAAGTTTCTTCTACGCCATCACCTGCAAGATAGGGCTGAGGGTATCTATGATTTCCCTTCCCTGGCTATAATTGTAATTCATAGGTGGTTCGTGTGCCTTGAACTTGATCAGTTTTGAGGGTGAGCAGAACGTCGCTAATCCTGGCATATAAACACCTTCCTGGGATTTGGGAAGCTTTTCCTATCAGCTGATTCTAGAGAGAGGTCCTTCCACATAGGCAGCCTACCCCAAAGCTCTGAACTTATCTCTTCTTGAAATCACACAGAACTAGAAAGTTAATATCATGTTTTATTTTTATTTTTATTTTATTTTATTTTTAGACAGGATTTTGTTCTCTCGCCCAGGCTGGAGTGCAGTGGATCTTGGCTCACTGCAATTTGCACCTCCATCGCTTGAATCCCAGGTTCAAGCGATTTTCGTGCCTCAGCCTCTCGAATAGCTGGGATTACAGGTGCTCACCAGCCTATTTGTTTGTGTTTTTAGTAGAAATATAGTTTTGCTATGTTGGCCAGGCTGGTCTCGAACTCCTGGTCTTAAGCAATCCACCCGCCTTGGCCTCCCCAAGTGCTGGGATTATAGACATGAGCCACTGCACCTGATTAGAGAGTTAATATTCTTTCTTTTAATTTTTTTATTTTTTTGAGACAGTCTTGCTTTGTCGCCCAGACTGGAGTGCCGTGGTGTCATCTCGGATCACTGAAACTCCACCTCCCGGGTTCAAGCTATTCTTATGCCTCAGCCTCCTGAGTAGCTGGGACTACAGGCGTGTGCAAACACACCTGGCTAGTTTTTGTATTTTTAGTAGAGACAGAGTTTTGCCATGTTAGCCAGGCTAGTCTCAAACTCCTGACCTCAAGTGATCTGCCTGCTTCGGTCTCCCAAAGTGCTGGGATTACAGGTGTGAACTGCCATGCCTGGCCTGAGAGCTAATATTCATGAGAGACGGAGGCCAGAACCTCTCTCTGCCATCCAGTGAGCTGCTTCTGCTCTTTGCCTCCTAGCGTCCCCAGAAAACCACATGGATAACCTGTGTCAGACTTGTGTAGACCGTATTTGTGACTTCACTCTTGAGTTCACTTCCTCCCCTACTGGGATTTATCAAATGGCTGACCTTGCCCTATCATTCTCCCTTTGTCCCTTTAAAGACTCACCATATTCTTCATTCAGAAGTCAAGTTGGATCAGAGACCATGGGGATCAATCTGAATTTCTCCAGCTATTCTTTTGCTGTCGCCCAGCTGTGACTTTACCCAGTTGTTTGCTCTGCTTCCTAATTGCTGGCTTGCATTGGTTCTCTGTTAGCTTTAATAACTACTGAAGCACTATAAATATCGGATAAGCTGCAGATTATCCTGAAAGTTTTAATTAGCCCAGTGGCAGTAAGTTTATCTGCTCTGAAGGACAACTCCATGCATAGCCCCATACTCAGAGTTAATGGCCGTCTACAGAAGATGATCAGCTAGGAGCCAGGAATGTATAATTTCCCCGCTAACTGCTGATTTGGTCAAGGCCTGGGAGAACGAAGCCCTCAGCATGCTTGTCTCCCTCCCTCAAGCCCCCAGCACGTTAGCAAATTAGCCATGTTAGGAGTCTGTAATTTTCCATAAATACAGTGTGGGGATAATTTTGCTTGCTGATACATGGGATGGTTAGAAGGGCTGAAACCAGGAGGAGCATGCCTGGTTTGCCCAATTTACCTTGAAGAAGCTTTCTTGGGCTCTTCCCCCCAGCCCCCCACCCTTTTTTTTTTTTTTTTTAAGAGACCAGAGTTTTGTTCTGTTGTTCATGCTGGAGTTCAGTGGTGTGATGGTAGCTCACTGCAGCCTTGAGCTCCTGGGCTTAAGCAATCCTCCCAAGTAGCTGGGACTACAGGTGTGTACCACCATACCCAGCTAATTAAAAATTAGTTTTTGTAGACATGGGGTCTTACTATGTTGCCCAGGCCAGTCTTGAACTCCTGGCCTAAAGTGATCCTCCTGCCTTGGCTTCTGAAAGTACTGGGGTTAGAGGTGTCAGGGACCATGTATGTCCTAGGCTTTTTCTTCTGCCACAGCCAGAGCTGGTATGAAGTACTGTCTTAGACATAGCCTTGGGTTCCAATCCCATCTCTGCCCCTCACTGGCTCTGTAACTTTGGGCAGGGTTCTTTTTTTTTTTTTTTTTTTTTTTTTTAAAGACAGGGCCTCATTCTGTAACCCAGGCTGGAGTGCAGTGGCATGATCTCACCTCACTGCAACTTCTGTCTCCCGGGTTGAGGAGCCTCAACCTCCCTCCTCAGTAGCTGGGATTACAGGCACCTGCCACCACACCCGGCTAAGCCTCCCTCAGTAGCTGGGATTACAGGCACCTGCCACCACACCCGGCTAATTTTTAAATTTTTTTTTGGTAGAGACAGGGTTTCACCATATTGGCCAGGCTGGTCTTGAACTCCTGACCTTAGGTAATCTGCCCGCCTCAGCCCCCCAAAGTTCTGGGATTATAGGTGTGAGCCACCGCGCCCACCCTGGGCAGGGTTCTTGACCTCACCAACCTCCATTTGTTCATATGGGGACTGTGGATAATGGCAGAGCCAGTCTCAGGTGGCTGTGAGGGTAAAATGAGACATCGCATGGAAGGTGTTTAGCCAGTGCACTGCTGGCCAGTGTTACGGTTATCAGCTCGTTTTCTCCTTCACAAAGATGTTCTACAACAGGCCAGATGATTGTGGACCTGCAGAAGCTCAGGAGTGGTTCTCACCTTACTTTCCTGATGAGCATCTGATGCAGAAATGGGCCCTCCTGGGAACCCACCCACTGGTGTGGCCCCTAGGCTTAGGCTACAGGTGAGAAGATGGATCTTTGGAACCTCAGCCTGGCTGCCTCTGGGTTTCCTTTTCTCTCTTCAGTCCTTGTGGGATTAGGGAGGATTGGAATTTTTGTGTCATCTGAGACGTTTTAAGTTTGAGAAATGAATTTTGAAGGGGTCTTTGTAAATTGTCACCAGATTGCCATCTTTGCTTCTGATAAGTCTAGATTATTGTAATGTGAATCCCTGTGATGGTGGCAATTTTATAATGTTGGTGTAGCCCTGGGCCACTCACAAAGGCCCCTAGCACTCATCTCCTTGAGCTTCTCTGCACACCTAGTCAGGTGGCAAGGCACACATCATCTCCATCTTGCAGATGAGTAAACTGAGAATCAGAGAGTCTGTGAATAGTGGGAGGTCTCACGAATTCTGACTCGTAGCCTGATTTCTTTCCCCAGCCCTTGCTTGCAGGAAGGAGAACAGGGAAAAGAAGGGACCTGGTCAGCCCCACTACTGCCCTTCGGCAAGGCTCCTTTCAGCCACCTTCCTCATCAGTGGAAAGGGGAGAGAGTCCTTCTTTTGTTGCTCATGTGTATTTTTTTTGTAGTTAGTGCTGATTTTTTTTCCAGACAGGGTCATTTTTATTTTTTAGAGGCAGGGTCTCGCTCTGTCTCCCAGGCTGGAGTGCAGTGGTTATATCTCACTGTAACCTTGAACTCCTGGGCTTAATTGATCTTGCCGCCTCAGCCTCCCAGGTAGCTAGGACCACAGGCATGTGTCACCATGTCCCACTAATTTTTTTGTAGAGACAGGGTCTCACTGTGTTGCCTAGGCTGGTCTGAGATAGGGTCTTGTTCTATTGCCCAGGCTGGAGTACAGTGGTGCCATCAGAGCTCACTGTAGCCTCCAGCTCCTGGGCTCAAGCAGTCCTTCCTCCTCAGCCTCCTGAGTAGCTGGGACTGCAGGTGCATGCTACCCCGTCTGGCTCATCTTTAAAATATTTTTGTAGAAATGGGGTCTTGCTGTGTTGCCCAGGCTGGTCTTGAACTCCTGGCCTTAAGTGATCTTCCCACCTTGGGCTCCCAAAGTGCTGGGATTACAGATGTGAGCCACTGTGCCTTGGCCTTAGATTTTAATCAGAGTAGTGCATGTCCGTAGTTTAAAAAGTCAAGTAGTACTAAAAGGCATATAAGAAAGTCTAGCACTTCACTGTGCAGAGCCCTCCTCAAAGGCAACCATTCTGTTGTGGTGTTTACGTCCATCTTTGTAAATAATACACTTAGACTGCTTTTTCTTGACTCATCAATTTTAAACTTTATCAATTGAGAATTCTTCTGCTAGATGAGGATTTGTCTCTGCTTTCCCCTCCTGCCTCCTTCTTATATGGCTTTTATTTTATTTTATTTATTATTTATTATTATTTTTTTGAGACAGAGCCTCACTCTGTCGCCCAGGCTGGAGTGCAGCGGTGTGATCTTGGGTCACTGCAACCTCCACCTCCCAGGTTCAAGTGATTCTCTTGCCTCAGCCTCCTGAGTAGCTGGGATTACAGGCATGCACCACCATGCCCAGCTAATTTTTATATTTTTAGTAGAGACAGGGTTTCACCATGTTGGCCAGGCTGGCCTAGAACTCCTGACCTCAGGTGATCCGCCCACCTCGGCCTCCCAAAGTGCTGGAATTACAGGTGGGAGCCACTGCTCCTGGCCTTTTTTTTTTTTTTTTTTTTTTTGAGACAGAGTCTTGCTCTGTCGCCAGGTTGGAGTGCAGTGGTGTGATCTTGGCTCACTGCAACCTCCGCCTCCTGGTTTCAAGTGATTCTCCTGCTTCAGCCTCCCGAGTAGCTGGGACTGTAAGCGCATGCCACCACACCCGGCTAATTTTTGTGTTTTTTAGTAGAGATAGGGTTTCACCATACTGGCCAGGCTGGTCTCAAACTCCTGACCTCGTGATCCACCCGGCTTGGCCTCCCAAAGTGCCGGGATTACAGGCATGAACCACCGCGCCCGGCCTCCTATGTGGCTTCTGAAAGGAGAGCGGAACCCCATGCGGCATCTGCCAGATGTTAAAGAACTGTTTACTGTGAGACAGCATGAGACTTATGAGAATCAGGAAACCAGCCTGTGATTTCTCACACAGTTGGCACAATGGTAATTTCTGGATGTTGTGTTTCATTAGCAGCCTCTGAGCGGAGGTGGTTTAAATTTGAGCGTGCAGGATTTAGATGTTTTATTTTTATATCTGTCTCCGACACTTTCAGAGCCACATGGTTTCTTGGGTTGTAACAAGATGTTTTCTGTTGCCCAGGCCCTGGGTTCCTCATTAGCCCCAGTTCATGTTCCTCTTGGGGGCCTGGCTCCTTTACGAGGCCTTGTGGATACCCCACCCTCTGCCCTTCGTGGATCTCAAAGCGTGAGCCTGGGGAGCTCAGTGGAGTCTGGACGTCAGCTTGGAGAACTCATGCTGGTAAGTACTTTCTCTTGTGTTCAGTGTCTGTAGTTCCTGTGGGGCCGCCGTGTACCATATTAGGGACTATGGCCTAGGGGTGAGAAATAGACGGAATCGGTGGAGTCCTCAGAGTTCGTAATCCAGTTGGGAAAATGTAATTCACACCTGTATGAATGTGGACTCTGGGCTGTGGAGGATAGACGCATGCTGTAGGGACATCAGTGCTGATTTCTGAGTCTCTGCAGCAAAGGCAGTAGGAGTGGGTGAAGGGAGTCATTGGTGTGAGCCGCAGTCGCCAGGTCAGCTTCATGGACATGGTGGGACTTGATCTGGGAGACATTGACATAGAGAGTGGGGAGGAGCATTCTAAAGGTCATTCCAAAGGTCTTCAAGTGAGTCCTTTGACTGTCCTTCTCTATTTTGAAGCCTTTGCAGGGTCTCAAGACCTCTGCTTATACAAAGGGTCTCCTGGGCTCCATACACGAGGACAAGACTGCTCTCAGCCTCTTGGCTTTAGGAGAAGAAACTAATGAGGAGGATGAGGAGGAAAGTGACAACCAGGTAATGATGAAGTCCTCTCCCTGGCCTGGAAACCCTCCGTGCTATATTTTTTCCTTTTGAAAATGTTTTTGCTGTGATAGAAAAAATATGTAACATAAAATTTGCCCTTTTAACCATTTTAAAGTTAAAATTCAGTGGTATTAATTACCTTCACAATGTGTGCACCCAACACCACTATCCATTTCTTTTTTTTTTCTGCACTCCACCCCCCACTGTTCATTTCTAGAACTTGTTCATCATCCCAAATAGAAACTGTGTACCTATTGAATGATAACTTCCTATTCCCTCTCCCTCCGTCTTTGGAAACCTAATCTGCTTTCTGTGTCTATGAATTTACCTATTCTGGGACCTCATATAAGAGGAATTATACAATATTTGTCCTTTTGTGTCGGCCTTATTTCACTTAGCATAATGTTTCAAGGTTCATCTATGTTGTAGCATGTATTAGAACTTTGGTCCTTTTTAAGGCTGAGTAATATTCCATGGTATGGATATGCCACATTTTGTTTATCTACTCATCTGTTGATGAATATATATGGATTGTTTCTACCTTTGGCTGATCTCTGTGCTTCTTTTTAAAAAAGCAAGATTTTTTTTTGGCCCCCAGCTTCATTTCTTGAGCAGTCTATTATACCTTCTAGATCTGATCCAGAAAATACAGCCAGCAGAAAGTACCTTGGCCACTTGCTTGGTGCACAGCATAGTTTGTGCTGGATGGAGAGCCGTTTAGTGAGGCTGCCTCAGTGGTGGTCCTGCCCTGAGTCCTCTGAAGCCCTGCCTGGGCCCGCCTGGCAGCTCAGCAGTGCCCCGCTTTTCCCTCTGCACACCCCTCACCCTGGGTTGACCAGTTTCCTCAGACTTACACTTGTCATCATTTTTGTTTCTAGAGTGTCCACAGCTCAAGTGAGCCTCTTAAGAACCTACACCTGGACATTGGGGCACTGGGGGTTGACTTTGAGTATGAGGTAAGAGCCCTAATCCCTACAGGCAAATGTGTCAGCCTGGCATATCCCTCCTGTTTTTATTAAGCCCCCCTGCTTTGTTGTAATGCATATTTGGAAAAACAACCGTTGTGTCCCAGTCCTTCCAGATGGGATTTCTGGGGTTTGGGGGAGGACAAGAATAAATGAATGGATTCCTGTCCCTTCCAGACCCTGCCTCTAAACAGACAAATGTCAACACTCATTATGTTATTGTAATACCTAAAACCTCCAGTAGTTTTTTTTTTTTTTTTTTTTAAGAGACAGGGCTTCCCTGTGTTGCCTAGCCTGGAGTTACAGTGGTGTGAACAGAGCTCACTGCTTTGAATTCCTGGGTTCAAGTGATCCTCCGCCTCAGCCTCCTGAGTAGTTAGGACTACAGGCATGCGCACCCATGCCTGGCTACTTTTTACCTTTTTTGCAGAGACGAGGTCTCTCTGTTGACCAGACTGGTCTCAAACTCCTGACCTCAAGCAGTCCTTCCGTCTTGGTCTCCCAAAGTGCTAGAATTACAGGTGTGAGCCATTGTGCCCAGCCATGTGTTTTTGTACCTAGAAAGGAGCTTTCCCTACCATGTATCCTTTGTTTAGTGTCCAACGTATTCATTTAAATATAACGTTTCTCAAAATATTTCTTTCTTTTTTTTTTTTTTGAGACGGAGTCTTGCTCTGTCACCCAGGCTGGAGTGCAGTGGCGTGATCTCAGCTCACTGCAAGCTCCGCTT